GACCCGGTAGTTTGGGGAACCTCGTTAAAATTCCTTGTGTTCTTTATTGCGTTTCCTTGTTTGTTTTTCTGCAGCTCGGCTCTGTTCTGGGGAAAACCCCTGCTTCTTTCTTGTCTTCGCTGCAAGGAAGAAGATAAGTCCTTTGGACTTATGTTTGCGGGCTTCTTCATATTGGGACAACTTGTTCCTTTTACTTTGGCTAATATTTAATTTTCTATTTTCTTTGGGCTTGTTGACTTTTGGGCCTAGCTTCAGAAACAAAAGAGAATGAGAGCGTTGAGCAAATTAAAGATCTCTCATTCCCTTCCATCTCTCTCGATCTCACATTTCTGATTCCCAAAATTCTCACGAACCCTAATTTCATCTAACTTCTTTTTCTAGATAATATCATTTTGGCATGATATTTGGATTCCTGGTATCACGCTTGTTGCTGCCTTCCCTCGAGTTGTTGTTGTTGCATCTTCAGCGCTTGATGCTCAGATTTCTGACATCATTTCTTTTTCAGGTGAGAGGATTAGTTGTGATTTAAAACTTAAATTCAAATTGAGAGGGGTGGTGGGGTTGAGAGGGAAATGCTAAATCTTTTAAATTCTGCTTAATACTACTGATTTAAAACATGTTGCTATCAGTCCTTCTCGGATCATCTGGACCCCAAATCCAAATACTGATTTTTCTATTGGTTCTATGTACAGGACACTAGTTAAAAACAAATTCGCGTAATTCATAACTTTCCTACACTGCGTTTTGGAAGCACATTATCCTGCCCAAAATCTGCTTCTTTGTTTGGTGTGTTTCTTCAACAACATTCTGACTCTTGCCAATCTGAAAAGAAAAGGATGGAAACTTGCAAACCGTTGCGAGCTTTGTCAAGGCAAAAAAGAAACTGTTAAATTTGTGTTTGCTGATGAAGTTTGAAGTGTCATTCAAGGGGGTTGTAGAACTTTCTAGAAATCAGGAGGTGACATCCGAAAAGTCATTTTAGGCTGGCCATCAAGAGCATCGGGTTGTATTGACGATTAGTTCATTTTTTGTTGCCTACAAGCTACTCTTTAGCACTTGTGGAAACTGGAAGGAACGAGATCAACATATTTTCAACGGCAAAAATCAAACGTCTGGATTGTCTCACGAAAGATCGTCAAACTGATTGTTAATTGGTTAGCGGCGTTTGGCAAGGTTGACAAAGAACAGGGTCACATTGGACATTGCATTGTTTCTTGAGAATTAGAGTATTTTTGTTCTCTGCAAGCTGCTCTGCTGGAACCATTTCACTTGGCTGGTCCCCGATGGTAGTCTCGTTCGTTCGCTGCTCTTCTTCTGCACTTTCTTCATCAACTGTCTTCGGCACTCCTCTCACCTTCATGCTCTATATCTACATCAGTTGTTCTGTTGGTCTTGAGTGTTTTTTTGTTGCATCTTCGATTTAGTGTTATTTTTGTATAACTGTTTGCCTTGCTAGGACGCTTTGCCTGGTTCATTCTTGTTTGGAGTTCTTTGCTTTTCTTTTGCTCTTGTGTCTTGGCAGGGATGGTCTGGTCCATCTAGCCATCTAGCCATCTCATATCTTTTTTTCTTTTGTGCATGTTGTAGGATCATCTTGCAGTTCCCAACAGGAGTGGCTCGATCCATTTAGTTGATTGTTTCCTCTCTTCTGTTCTATCGTTTCCTTCTTTATTTATCTTCGTGGCATGCTTGTTGCTCAGTTCTTATGAACCCTTGTTGTTTCTACTTTTTTAGTTGCAGACCTTTCCTTTTTGTTTTTCTTGTAATGTAGTACCAATTGAGGAGTTTTTTCTCCTTGTTTTCTTGAGTCACCCCCTCATGTGTTGTTCTTGATTTTAATTTCAGTCTCTCCTTTGGAGTTCTTTTATAGTTTTTTTTTATTGTGTACTCGATCTTAAGTTTTGGGGTATGCCTATGGACTATGGTGACTTGCAAGTCATCATAACTTGGAGAAAACAGCCGACCTCTTTCATTAAGTGGTCGACCACTTTCCAAGAAAATGATCGACCTGTTCCACCAAATGGTCTACCACTTGAGTCATTTAGTCTACCACTTCTGGAAATGGGTCATCTAATGACACACTTACCTTCAAGTAGTCAACCTTTTCCACCAAGTGGTCTACCACTTGAGTCAACCGGTCTATCGTTTCCGAAAATGGGTCGACTTGATGAAACAATTACCCTTAAGTGGTTGACCTCTTCCATTAAGTGGTCGACCACTTTCCAAGAAAATGTTTACCACTTCCACCAAGCGGTCTACCACTTGAGGCAACCGGTCTACCGCTTCTGGCAATGGGTCGATCTGTTGCACACTTATCTTCAACTTACAACTGTTTGTTGGAGGAGGTAGACCGCTTTCGCCAAAAGAGCCACCCGATTTTGCAAAATGATTTACGTACCTCTTTTGGCAAACGATCTCCGGTTTCGGCGAATGGTCGACCAGATGACACAGTTACCTTATACTTACATTAGGAAAATAATGGACAATAGGACACCAACAATATAAAATTGTTTCGTAGTAACGTCACATCTTATCACCCGTGGGCAACCAAATCCCTACGTAGATTATAGGCTAAGACAAAAAGGAACACCCTCTTTTAACTCTTCTGAAATAAGAATCCACAAAAACGATGATATGAGATTTATGGACGTTGAAGATGACCCAATTGTATAACAAATATACTCTACTTTTTGAGCATCTTCATAACAACAATAGCAACAAAGTTGATCCATCAGAAGACAACTAACTATAGGCTTTTAACTTAGAATTTGAAGGAAAGATGAAAGTCTCTATAAAGTAAGTGAAATATAAGAATTTGGGTCATGACTATTTATTAACCAAACCTTTTTCATATTCTTTTTTATTAGCCAAACCTATTGAATTCTAATAATTAGCCAAATGTTAACATTCAGTTAGCAATTTTGTTAGTATTATTGACTTGGCAACATGATACTGACTTGGAAGAGACACATGAAGGTTAACATTTCAAAATTTTATTATTTTAACTAAGAAAAGAGTTACAAAATTATTAACGATAACATAAAAATGACTAATACTTTGACGTGTTACAAAATGTTTGGCTAATTCTTAGTATTTCAATAGATTTGGCTAAAATAAAAGAATCCGAAAAAATGTTTGGGTAATAAATAGACATTACCCAAAAAATAAATATGCGGAATATTTTTCAAATCTACAGAAGAATAATCACTCAAGAAACTTGTCATCTATGTTTGCAGCCTTTGTACTAATTTTAAATCTCTTACTAGCAAACATATCTATTGTTATTGGACTCTAATTATATATGATGATATCGCGGGCAATGGTTCATCAAGTGAACCAATTATTGAAAGAGTTGGACCTCTTGGGGAAAGGGATAGACCACTTGATGGAAGTGGTATACCATTTTTTTGTATAGTGGAAGAGGTTGACCGTTTGTTGAACATAGCAAAATGAAAAATTCCAACAATGAGATCGACCATATCAGTAAAGAGGTCGACTGTTTTGTCCAAATAGATCGACCATATCAGTGAACAAATTGACCGTTTTGTTCAAGTCACAGTAACTTACAAATCAACATAGTCCGTAGCAAAATCCTAACTTTTGTTTCTACCCTTGCTCCTTTCAACTTTCCCCCTCTATTACTTCCTTTAATTCCTTTTCAATAAAGTATCTCAATTATTAAAAAAAAATGATGTTTTTCCCCAATAGATAACCAAAAATGATGTTGTTAAATGCATCCATATTGTGGAAAAAATCCAAAAATACCACTGTTTTAAATTTTTTTTCCAAAAATACCACCCAACCCCAAAAAATTCCAACCAGCCACCCCAACCAGCGGTTTGGTCCAAAATTTTTTTTCCCCGATCAACTCCCAACTTCGGCCGAAACTTCAAACGAACGTAACTTTGCACTCGGGTATCCGATCGTAGCGATATTTTTTTTCATTTCGCATAAATTTTCAATATCTACAACTTTTACTAGGATGAAATGTTCAAAAAAGGAAATATTTGTGGATATACGGGACCTTGAGAATAACTTTACCTTTACTTTTTAGAAATCCATGTACATTTTGAAAGTATGATTATATTAAAAGTTGTAGATCTTGAAAAGTTATGCGGAATCAAAAAAAAATTCATAACATTCGGAGTTTTGAGCACAAAGTTATGGCCGCCCAAAGTTTGACGAAAGGCGAGACCCGGAGGTTTGCGGCTTGCAATATCTCAAAAAGTTTGCGGCCTCCATTTTTTGAATCCGAATAATTTTTTGAGATCTTGCAAGTCTCAAAAAGCCGGGTCCCGCCTTCGTCTCGAAAAAACGTCATTTGCCACCCCGAACGAGCCTTTTTTTGATTTCGTCAAACTTTGGGCGGCCATAACTTTGTGCTCCAAAATCTGAATGTCATGAATTTTTTTTTATTCCGCATAACTTTTCAAGATCTACAACTTTTAATATAGTCATAATTTCAAAATGTACATGGATTTCTGAAAAATAAAGGTAAAGTTATTCCCAAGGTCCCGTATGTCTACAAATAGTTCCTTTTTTGAAAATTTCATCCTAGTAAAAATTGTAGATCTTGAAAAGTTATGCGAAATAAAAAAAAATCGCTATGATCGGATATCCGAGTGCAAAGTTACGTTCGTTTGAAGTTTCGGCCGAAGTTGTGAGTTGATCGAAAAAAAAAAAAAATTTGGACCAAACCGCTGGGTGGGGTGGCGGTTTTGGGCCAAACCGCCACCCCACCCAGCGGTTTGGCCCAAAACTTTTTTTTTTATATAACCGCCTCCTAGGCCCGCGGTTTGGGTAGAAAACCGCGCCCCCGACAAGCGGTTTTCGTGTAAACCGCAGGGTGGGGCGGCGGTTTTTGAGAAAGGGTAATATTTTTGGAATTTTTTGGGGTTGGGTGGTATTTTTGGAATTTTTTTTTTAAACAATGGTATTTTTGGATTTTTTCCCAAAGCATGGAAAAAATGATCAAACTCGGGAGAAATTATTTGACTGATTGGGGGAATATTATTAGGGAGAGCGTAATCCAGTCTCCTCGTCGCCCACGGACACAATGGATAGAAGAAGAAACAACCACCCATCTTCTCACTGTCTTCTTCCACTCCTCTCTTTCCCCCTTTCTCTTCTTCTTCTCCTCCTTCTTCACTCTCCGCTCTCTTCCAATTCGGCTTCCACACCAGAAATTGTCGGCTATGGCTACTCCCTCGGATCCGTTTCCGTTGACCTACCCAGTCACTCGCTGACCGCCGATCTCAATCTTATCCAGAGCTCCGACGTCTATGGACCCGATATTCCCACTCTCACCCTCTCCGCCTGGTACACCACTCTCACTCTCCCCGCCATTTTTCTCAAAATTTTCCCGGAAAATAGGAGCCACCGGGAAAATGCAGGCCAATCATGAATGAACAGAGACCTCCATTATTATATCCCCAAGGTTGGTACGTGTCAAACCCTGATTGGGTTTTCCACTTTTTTGTTTGTTTGTTTATCTTCTCCAGCTTCGAGACGGATGAGCGAATTAGAATCCGAATTTCGGATCCCGAGAACGCCAGATGGGAAGTCCCCGGCGAAATCATCCCCCGTCCCTCCGCCAAGAAGCCACTCTCGACCGGTCATTCACCGGCGAGCGGCCGCCGGGTGATGCTGGAGGAGACCGGGCTGCTCTCTCACCCAAAATCGGACCTCGTCTTCGCCATCCAGAACACGGAGCCCTTCGGATTCGCCGTCTCCCGCAAGTCCACCGGCGACGTCCTGTTCGACGCCTCCCCCGACGGCTCCGATCCCGGCAGCAGCTTCCTCGTCTTCAAGGACCAGTACATCCAGCTGTCTTCTTCACTCGCTGGGGACCGATCTTCGATCTACGGCCTCGGGGAGCACACCAAGCCCAATTTCAAGCTGACCCACAACCAGACGTTGACCCTCTGGAACGCCGATCTCGCCAGCGCGTCTCCCGACGTCAATCTGTACGGTTCCCACCCCTTCTACATCGACGTTAAGTCGCAATCCGCCGATGGGAAATCGCCGGCGGGAGCCACTCACGGTGTGCTGCTACTGAACAGCAACGGGATGGATGTGGTTTATACAGGGGACAGGATAACGTACAAGGCAATCGGCGGGATTATAGACTTGTACATCTTCGCCGGACCGTCGCCGGTGGAGGTGATTGATCAGTATACTAAGCTCATCGGCCGCCCTGCTCCGATGCCGTATTGGTCCTTTGGTAAGTGAATAAATCCATCCTTCTTTGTTAATTGCTTCTCCCTTTGTTCCTCTTTTCTCTGAAGCCCTCTGTTTCTGTAGGGTTTCATCAATGCAAATACGGGTACAAGGACGTGACGGAGCTAGAGGAAGTGGTCGCCGGTTACGCCAAATCAGGGATTCCTCTGGAAGTGATGTGGTCGGATATCGATTACATGGACGCTTACAAGGATTTCACTCTGGATCCGGTCAACTTCCCAGTTCTTCAGATGAGGAATTTCGTCAACAAGCTTCACCAATTCGGTCAGAAGTACGTCGTCATCTTGGATCCTGGTAAATAGCAGTAACTTGCAACATTCTGTTCCGTCATGAATGGAGTCGAAAACCATTAATGGCGTAATTGATTTACAGGTATCAACGTCAATGAGAGTTATGGGACATACAACCGAGGGATGGAAGCAGATATCTTCATCAAACGAGACGGTTCGCCTTACTTAGGATCGGTTTGGCCCGGACCCGTTTACTTCCCGGATTTTCTGAACCCAAACACATCGGACTTCTGGAGGAAGGAGATCGAAACGTTTCGCTACATTCTCCCCGTCGACGGGATATGGCTAGACATGAACGAAGTGTCGAATTTCATCACCTCAGCGCCAACTCCCAATTCGACCCTCGACGACCCACCGTACAAGATCAACAACTCTGGAAACCAGAGGCCGATCAACAACAAGACCACTCCGGCAACTTGCCTCCACTTCGGTAACGCGACGGAGTACGACGTCCACAACATGTACGGACTGCTGGAAGCCAGAGCGACGCAGGAGGCTTTGATTAAGGTGACAGGGAAGCGTCCATTCATACTATCTCGATCGACATTCGTGAGTTCCGGCAAGTACACGGCGCATTGGACCGGTGACATTGCTTCGACTTGGGAAGATCTCGCCAACACGATTCCTTCCATTTTGAGTTCCGGGTTGTTTGGGATTCCGATGGTGGGTGCTGACATATGCGGGTTCTCGTTAAACACGACGGAGGAGCTCTGCCTGCGATGGATTCAGCTGGGAGCCTTCTACCCGTTCGCTAGAGATCACTCCGAGAAGGGCTCCATAAGCCAAGAGCTCTACCGTTGGGAATCGGTGGCTGAAGCGGCGAGGAAGGTTTTGGGGCTCCGATACAGGCTTCTCCCCTATCTCTACACATTGATGATGGAGGCAACAGAGAGAGGGACACCAATTGCCAGGCCACTGTTCTTCTCCTTCCCAGAGGACACCAACACTTACGCAATCGATCACCAGTTTTTGCTGGGCGGCGGTGTGATGGTGACTCCGGTGGTGAAGCAAGGAGCAGTGTTTGTCGACGCGTATTTCCCGGCAGGGGTTTGGTTCAGCCTATTTTATTACTCCGACGTGGTGATTGCTGGCACCACGGGGAGGTACGTCACTCTGGAGGCGCCACTGGACAAGATGAACGTTCACTTGAAGGACGGGTACATCTTGCCAATGCAAGGGGAAGCGATGACGACCAGGGAGGCTCGTACGACGCCATTTCATCTGGTGGTAGCGTTGGGACTGCAGGACGGGAGCAGCAGCGGGGAGGTGTACTTGGATGATGGGGAGAGGGTGGAGATGGGGGAAGAAGGTGGGGATTGGACTAAGGTGAGGTTTCGCGGCGGGGTAAATGGTACGAATGGAGCATTTCTGAGGTCGGAGATTGTGATCGGAAGGTTAAACAGGGGATGGATTGTAGACAGGGTGACTTTCTTGGGATTGAAGGCAGATCAGGTTGGCGGGAGATGTGAGGTATTCATATCCAAGGCTTCGAATCTGGGTAGCAACTCCGCGATGGTAAAGACTAGCCCGAACAGTGGCAACAGCAGCAGCTCGCAGTTTGCGACGGTTGAGATATCTCAACTGTCGATGCTCGTGGGCGAAGAGTTCCATCTGGAGCTCAAGTTCAATCAGCCATTGCAGTGAAGATCATGCTGACAATACTATTGTGCTTCTAATATATATATATATATATATATATATATATATATATATATATATATTTTAGTGGTGATCCAATGCATTGAAAGCAAACAAAAGGTGCTGCTTCTAATAAATTGAAATCAGTCAGTTATATATAGTTGAAACAAGTTAATAAATTACCGTTCGAGGCAACGGTTCGGTTTCTTTCTTGTGCGAATCCAGATGGGTTTTCGCTCATACCTTCTATTTCCCAGCTTCTCCTCCAAAAGCGTAAGGCGGTAAGGCATTTCAGATACGAAAGGTACTTCCTCGAATTGGAACTTGGAAGAAAAAGTCAGGCTCTGGATCATGACCCAAAATTATGTCACGACTCATTGATTCGACTTGCAGGTTAAACGCATATACCAGAACCATAGCTGTGCAATAACCAGAGAATTACAGAAAAGAGATAAACAAGGGGTTGGTAGTTGATATTTCACAAATCCACAATATGTTGCTTTACCTTTTTTCAATACCATCCAAACAACTGCGAGACATTATGAGGTTCAATAAGAATATTTGAAGTTTTATCTATCTACTACAACCTAAATAACAAACGTAATAATTTACCAAGAAAAAAAGAAATAGAAAAATAAGAAACGTAATAACTGCACAATCACCAAACCTAACAATGAGAACTATTCAGAGAAACACAAACACACCAGCGAAGCCAAAGAAGAGGCACTGAGCGAAATGCAACATTCTAAAAAATGAAAATAAAATCCTCAATGTTATGCATTTACACGAGGCGCCTTCATCGAAGGCAAGCTAAATTACTGAAGGGGCACAAAAAAAAAAAAATGATAAACGAATACAGTCTCATGTTAGAATACATTAAAACTTGCATCTAGAAATCGATTACATAGAAGAAACAAGCTAGTATAGTACCCATATGTTCACTATTCCATCTGTGAGTTGTATGTGGACTTGTTCAAAACAGCTACAAAAAAAATTCTGGCTTCAGCGATAAACCCGCAGGAGCCGTGCCTTTGGATAGGGATTGTCGTATCAAAATCATCCACATCCTACCTAAAAAATTGGCAACACCTGGAAAAAGCAAACACAGTCTTCTCCCCATTAGGGATCCCGGAACTTTAACTAGCATAATGCAATTCAGGAGAAATTTCCCAAGAAAAAGAAATGATTCATAGGTAAAGTTAAGCATACAGTTAAAGCGTTAAAGTGCCTCGAGGAACCTAGAAATGAAAACAAGGGCAGAAAGTAAACCGTGTTCATTTCCCCCAGATTCCATCATGGAAACTAAATCAATTAGAGGCATGCTGTTCAGGTGGAATTCATTATTGATTCTCAGATGTTATCAGCCATCAAGGCTGACGACACAAGGAAACTAGAAGATGAATTTGACTTGTAGAATGTAGATAAGGATGCATGCACTACTTACCTTAATCTCATTGTACAAAGTGCATGAGCCGAGAACTGGTTCAACATTCCCATTTGTTTCCTGAAATACTTCGTTACAGCTTTAAGAGACTGGCCAATCAACTCGGCATCTGGAGAGTCGTAGATCTCAATCAGCTTCTGCTCCAAACTTCTGTGCCAAGAATTCATCAAGTTGTCCCCAGTTAGGGGTACTGGATTCACCGCTCGAGTTATTATCAGAAGGTAATGACCTAATGCATCCAAGAATCTGAGCAACATCCCTATGAAGCCTGGAGTAAAAGAACACAGAAAGAACGCCATGTTTCAGCAAAAGACAAACCACTTTATTGAAAAAGAACATTGAATGTTCACAAAGTTGGGAACAAAGTCGTACCTGTCCTTCGCTTGTGGAGTGCTGATTTCTAGCCGTGAAAAAGCCTCAGAAATTTGAGAGTGGAAAATCACAACAACTTGCCTGCAGGAATACAAATCAGAATCCCAAACCCACCATGATGTTTTCGGCTATTTAAATGACAGTCCAATTTTTGTCCAGGAAATTCACCTAAAAATCGCTTTGACATCAGACTCGTGCAAAGTTCTTGACAGAACACGTTGAAGATAGCCAACCTCCTGCAGAACAATCAACCAATATATGCTTCAATCAACAAGATAATTTGAAACTAAGCTGAGAGAACGGAAACCATGCATCAGTGTTGGTATGCTGATGTTTTAACCAGCCAATATTCACTTTAAGGTATGCTCGAGAAGACATCCTTTACCTGACAGAACATAATACTCTGATGGGAGACATTATAAATCAAATAACTGTAGCTTCCAGCTTCAGCCATTTTGAAAACATAACCAAACCAAACCAAACCAAACTTTAACCGTTTCTTGAATAGCTCAGAAGTCAGAACTCAATTTAAACGCCAACTAATTTCTTGCAACTACATATAAAATGATAAAATTGCATCATTACTAAATGCACACGATGAAAGTCATAATAACAATGGAGAACCACTCTCAATTAACCGCAAACAGTACAGAGACAGAAGCTGTAGCAAACGAATAACAAGGCAGCTGAATTGAAGGGGCACATTGTTGAACATCGAACAAGGAATGCGCTTAAAACTCTGCCTCTATAATTGTGTACCAAAAAGATCATTGGCATTTCCAATCAAACAAAATTCAGCAAAGCAGATGGTTGAAGAAAAATATTATGTTGACCATAAATCTCATTCAAGTTCGCTTCACAAAAAATGCATATTGAACTTAATCATGAACACTCTTGAGCTCTGCGTAGATAATTCAGAATAGGACGGTTACCTTGGTAAGGGATCGAGCAAACTGACTAGGTTGTGGATCAGCATCTTCTGGTCTGTTCCAGCCCTCCACAATTTGCGGCAACCCTCGTAGATGTACAAACAACCTTTCTCTCATTATCTGGACCAGCTTCGTATGTATTTCATCTCGATGTACTTTATAATCCTGAAAATTGCACAACTCTCATTTAGTTGTAGATCCATAAAGTAAATGGTAAAAGATAACCACTATGGTAAAAAAGAGAGCAAATGTAGGAGCACTCCTGTTTTTTTCTTCTTTAAGAGACATGGAACAGTCATGGCGGACGGAGCAGGCACAAAAAAGCACCGCACAACAGAACATTTCAAGCCAACAAAGTATAATAACTTCAACATGACAAAGAATGATTCTGCAACCGAAGTTCAACAGCTTTGGTACTCCCCAAAATAGAAAACGACAATGTAAACTAGACGCTGAAGCAAGAAACACAAAAAAAAAAAAAATATAGCAAAAGGAAAGGTCTCCTCGGTACCTGTGCCACCCGGTCTATCTCTGATACCAGCAAGGCCTTCCGTGTCTCAGGGACCTTAAGGAAAAGTACTTGCCTGATTTCTTGGTGCAGAAACAAAGCATGAACATATAACCGTTCAGAACCTTTCAGTACAGCATTCTTCACCTTAGACTCAATAATGACACTCTATAAACTCTCACTGTCATGTGACGTAGGAAGAAAATAAGAAGCGCAACTGAGAGAGAAAAGCAAATCTAATGAACTGTCTTTGGAGAGGGGGGTTCCTTAGCTCCACATGCTAAGGCACAAAACTGCAGACCACAAGCTGCAACAGGCCAAAGAGGCAATACTAACAAGCAATGTGCATTCGTGTTGATTATTGCCCGTCAAAAGGATTGCATTGGTCATTGTTGCCAAGTAAGTATTTGGTTTATGAATGTGTGACAAATGATTTGTGTACGAGCTTTTCCAGCCTTCAGACATTGTGCTCTGAACTACATCAAGTGATAATCTTTTTGTTTTCCATTACCTCACAGGAAGAACTTCTGGATATGAGTCATAGAAATGCAGAAACTGTGATCACACCATACCACATGTCTCAAATCAATCAGAAAAAGACAGTGGAATTGGGTGTTATCAGTGCTAGTTTATATAGCATTTGCAGAGAAGCACCCCACAGAAAAGAAAGCTATCATTAACAAAAAAAAAAGGTGAAACACTGATGCAAGTATCAATTTGACAAAACAAGTGCGTGGAGCATCATACCAGGAATTATAGAGTATGTAAAACTGATGACTTGACTTGCAAGGGCCAAGTGTTTAGAAGTAATGGACTTCAATCCAGACACCTGCCGTGTAAAGAAAAGTAAATGGGAGAGTAAGAAAGACTTTTCTGCACAAAATGGATTGAAAAATACTGAAGCTTCAGGAAACATTATAACACGCCAAAAGATGAAAAATTCACCAGCAAATTATTTCAGACTTAAAACAGTTACACTAAGCAAGAAATTACTAAAAGCATGGCATGTATTTCCCAGATAAAACAAGATACAACTGGGATGATATGACTAGCTATTTTCACAAATAAGCTTGAAGTGTTAGCCAGTAGAAGATCAGGAAAGAGTAACAGGAAAAAAAAAGCAAAAACGCAATGAGCACCAAAGAGATGAACCTGCATGGCACCAGCTCCAAGGACAAGTTGACAAGTCCTAGTGTTGAAGAATTTCAAAATCTCCACAACACGATGTACAACTTCTGAAGATAATGCCGGCAAATAGTTGTTCATATCAATGTACTCAGACAACATCTTCACCATTATTAAGCCACTGGGATACAAATAAGATAACAAGGAAACATATAATCAGAAGAAGCCATTAAATAGTTGACAGTTTGAGGAAATTATGAAACAAAGAGTGTTAGATGGCAAAAGTAGTTAACACAATAACAAAGAAGTAGTGGAGCAAGTAACAACACTAAACATAATGCTTTCACAATGCATATTGGATATAAAAAACTAGAGAAGACCATCAACGACAAAAAGGAAAACTAACCAGTTAACCATGTGGTAGCCAACACCTTCGTGAAAGAGTTTTTGGGAAGCAACTTTTCCACGATCCTTTGAATTCTTATTGTTACCCTGAGCTGATGATGTCACTACATCAGTTTTGTTACTTTCAGCTGTTTGGGACAATGGATGCAATTTTCCTTGAACATTATTTAGCTTCTCAACGGAAGCCTTTCTCACAAGTTGCTCTTGAGCTGCAAGTGTCTCATTGACAGGGACAACAGAACCATCAGTGCTTGCAGAAGGGTGGCTAGCTATTATATCGGCCTGTGAAGCATCTAGTTCCGCAGACACCAGAGTTTCCGAAGATAACACCGAAGTAATTATGCTCTGAAATTCATCAGGAACATCTACTTCCACCCATGTTTCTTGATCAAGTACAGCCTTAATTTTTG